TACCTAATAATAATGACTGTAATTGACAATACTAAACGATTTCGAAAACCGACAAGCGCACAATAATAATAATATTATTGTGTTCACATTCGCGTGACAAACTCAAGACAATGCGAGCGTACAGTTAAAAAAAAAAAAAAATTACTTATATTCGCGGTTATACATTAGTATGCACCGCCGGTGAATTGCGTTTTTTTTATATTTTTTACATACCGAACGACAGCAGCTAACGAGCATTTAATACAATTAAATTCGCTACAATAACCTATTGAAAACACGTTCTTGTCTCTTGGTCGCTTATTGTACGGTTTGATTTTATTGATCATTTGTACAGACATAAATATTAAAATTATAGGTAAAAGAAAAATATTTACAGATCACAGGATTACAGTTTAAAAACTACAAAACATGTATCAAATAGAATTTAAAAATTCGTAATTAGTTAGTTTTTTTCTTCACGCTGGATACATAAGTTAAATAATTTGTTATTGTTCTTAGATTTTTGTCTCTCATGAAGCAGCCTACGACCACATTCGCCCAATTGTATTGCCCGCAAAACTGTCCGGAAATTCGGATTTGTCGTTTCAATTAATTTACTTGAAGGAGCTATACACCCTTCACTAAAATTGTTTGGTCTCTTACATTCCATATAGAAGGAGGGAACCGTTGATTGTTATTATTACCACTAACATATTAAGTTCTGTCAAAGTATGAAATGGTATAGGTATTGGAACTCTTGAGACAATGTTTTATACATATGACTAATTTCAATGTAAGATATGTCGTTAATAGCTAAAAATGCCAAAAAGGAATTGAATTGGGAATTTCGAAAATTAAAATTTTTCAAGAAACTCAAAAAACTGATTTTCTTTTACATGTTCTTTTATTTTTATGAATTTTATACATAGTTTTTTTCATCACAATAGAAAACAGATTTGGGCCCTTTCCGCACATAAAATATTGGTCTATATGTGTAAATGAAAAAACGCGGAAAAATCAATTTTGATCAAAACTCGAGATGGGCCCTTTTCGAAATTTACAATTCAATTACTTTACACTCTTTGGATATGTCACAGGCAGTAGTTTGTATTGATAGACTACCGTTAGAGAGAAATTAATTGGCGCTTTATAATCGATTCAAAATTATTCGTCCCGTAGCTATAACGTTAATTCTTACACACACACATTTGCATAAATTTGTACCTAACCTTTGATTGCCTACAAGTAATTTATCCATTTTGTCATAATGAAGTTCTCGAGACGGCGAGCGTTTGGTAACTCATTATAAAAACGTGCAATAGTCAATGGGACGGTTAACGGTTACATTAATAATTATAGTATGTGATTTGGTCATAGTTACCGTAGCTTTCCTCGATCAAAGCATCATCGAAGGTCATACTTAGATGGATAGCCGAGTTCCATTGCCTATCATTAGGCAGAAATATTCTATATATATATATATATATATATATATATATCATATAAACCGACTATAGACCATAACACCATCACAGCTGTACTATGATAGCTCTACCGAGACACGGTTATACAATTATACAAAATAGATACCAGAAGTTTGACTAGCAGCACATACTTGGGCCGTTTACACTGAAATTTACACACAATAATCTCTTATGTTATCAAGTTGTCCGTTGTATAAAAGGCAGAGTAATCCGCACCGGAATGAGTGAACGTTAATGACCGACAATTTACATAAGGTCACGTTTGTTGCACGAACGCGATGAGAGAAGGAAATTAGTCTATGCCGAGCAGCAGGCGAATCAACACATTATTCACAACGAAAGAAGCTACACCTAAATATTATGTACACGGACGAATACTTAAAATAGTTAACCTATCGGGGTTAATAAGATGTTTTTCTTTATCATTTTTAAATTGGAAGAAAACGTTTGGCCAAAGTCTCGTTGACCGGAACGCGGTTAAAAATATTCAACAAGCAATTATTGTGTTGTTGTTAAACAGCACAAATTGCTGAATCTCTAAAAAAAAAAAAACCGTTTAAAACAAATATTATCAGAAAACCAATCAAATCATCGAGTTTGAACAATCTCGATCCGCTCGCGTCCCACACAACCTAAATCAAAAATTATTTTAAACACATTTTTTTTTTTTTAATTTAATTTTCTCCAACCTCTTCGGGGGACGGCGACACTGCTTGTCTTTTGGTCGTACTGCCAAGCCAAACACGAAACGATGGCCAAATAATCACACTGAGTACCGAGTTTTTCTTCGAAACGAATATAATACCGCGATGAAACTTAACGCTGCCTACATACGGCGTCCGACTTGTGTGCCATAAGCGTTTTTGTCTATTTTAATATTGTTATTACACCGAAGAAAGCGCACCGCGGACCATCCGTTGATGACACGAGGCTGATGTGTTGTTGCTCGTCGCCCCTCCACCCACCCCCCCCCCCTCAAAAATATAAAAAAAACCGAATACAAAGATCTAAAGATAAACCGCGGCCGTCGGTTTTGTGTTCTACCTCAAACACCGCGCGTTTGTTTGCTTTGGCTGTGGATATCAAACGCGGTGGCCACGAGAAATCATATAATTAAAAAACCCTCGTGTCGGTTTCCAAAAAAGGGATTGATCGTGCGAAAAACTACAAGCGTACTTAACCCGACCGGAAGTCGTAGGTAGCAGTTTATTTCATGCTCTCGTGATGTGTGTGTGTGGCTGTCGGATCCCATCGAATAAGAAGATCTACCGGCATATTATGGTTGTAAACGAGACACTGATTGAGAATAATGTCTCGAAGCGTTTACACTCAGTACAGGTACACCCCCCCCCCAAAAGTTTTTGGAAATACACGTTTGCCTCGAAGGTTAATATGTGTGCAGTTACATTTTTCATTTTTGTTATACATATCCGTTGTATGAAATTTGTGGAAATTACTAATGAACAAACCCAGACAACATTTTAAACAATGTAAAAAATATTATTATTATTTGTCTACAAACGCAGTATGTTTACAAAAATTCAAAACATTTTTTACTGTATTTTAAAAATATAACTATACCTACTCGATTTTGTGCTACACCGGAAACAGGGCCGTATTTAGGAATTTGTCACCCTGGGGCAACAAAAAAAAAACACCCTATTATAATATAATACAAATTTAATGCAATATAAAAACAATTTTATTTTTAATTTACAGTTAAATTTTTTCCTGGATTGTGACTCCGCAAATTCTTTAATAATTATATTATCATAATAATTGATACTGGAAGATAGTTCACATTTTCTAAACAAGCCAGATTGTTACAGTTAAAAAAGCTAAATGATAAAATAAATAATAAAAACAGCCGAGTTTTATTAATTATCTGAATAACCTAACTAAGATAACGTACAAAATAATTGTATTTAGTGCAAAGTATTTTTTATAATATATTTTAAAATTTAATAATAATTGTATAGGTACTACAGTTTTGAATGAAATAAAACTAATACAATTATTATTGTCACTGTATTTTAATTGAATTTTCTTAATATTTAGCTCATTAGCCTTTATACCTAATCTAAGCAATGATAATATTATTTGAAATAATATGAAATTTAAATAATAATTTTTATTTAATATAAGGTAGCGTACAAGCATTCAGCCCAAAACTATATAATATCATTAAAAAGTATAAACGTTATTGAACTACAAATATGATATGCAATATTCAAAAACCAGCCATTTTAATTATATGAATACAATTCTTATCGAATATATACTTCTTTTGAAAGGATTAAAATAATGAAATTATATATAAAAAAATTTAGCCTCCCCCCTTAAATCCGGCCCTGACCGGAAATGTTTATGGAAGCTTTTGGATGGACTATATTGGTCGAAGAAACATCTTAAAAATAATTTACCGACAAAATGATTTAAAACATTTGTCCTAACCTACCGTGTCTAATATATTCAAGCTATCATCTTCGTGTACACTCGCTGTCAACGCATTAATCATTACCAGCATAATTATTATGCTATTTTTATAACTATGTAAATACTAATCGACTTACAAAATATGGTAGGTATTTATCAAATCAATTTCCTTAGAAGAAAAAATCGAAAGACAATCGTGTTAAAACAAACTGTACATTTCAGACAGGATTATTTCTTGGTGTAACGTGAAAATATGGTAGGGCGTTTCTCGAGAGAAAAAAAACCAGAAACAAACATTAATTTCCATTAAAAGACTATCAGGCCATCCGGACATTTTAACTTTTTAATGTTTGTTTATATATCTTTTTTTTTTTGCTTCGCTACGAATAATTAGTCGGAAAAAGTCGTACCGTTGATTGAAATCAGTATAAAAAAATTAAAAAAAAGGAACCCCGTCTTAAAAAAAAAACATTGCGTAATCATAAAAATGTATTAAATGGGCGCCGTACGACGATTGTACAAATTGACTGGCCCGAAGCCAAACGCGTTTAAAGTGAAACGTTTCTTTCGAATGTTATATATATATCTCCTTTTTCTTTTTTGGCGTCATAAAGAAAAGGTTAAGAGAGACGCGGGCAAAAAATAAGACCACAACGAAAACCATCTGTTAAAAAAAAAAAAGTCCACACAAGCCGAGCGCAATGAGTTGGAAGATTTATAACTCTCGTTGTGTACATCGGGGTCATAAGTTTTGCCACTTAAATACATAATTATTGTACACAGAGTCGTTCATTGTATCTACACGCCGTTTGTGCATGATGTTAACAGATGAAAAAAAAACAACAACAACTTGGCATAAAACACGTTTAAAAAAGTCTACATACACCACACAGTCGACGGACAAACGGCGGATACGAACAACATAAATCATAATTTTCGGTTAATAATAATAAAAAAAAAAAAAACCATTACCGTGCGCTTTGGGGCGTAATGGCTTTGGCTTTGTGGGGGGATGAGTCGGAGGGGTGGTGAGGTTTTATGGACTTGATGAATATAAACGGGCCAGGGTTGCAAACGTGCTGTGCGCTGCTGCTTGCTTACCTGAGTCTCGGTGACGCCCAGAAGTTTGGCCATTTCCGACCGTTCGGACGACGACAGGTACTTCTTGAGTTCGAATTGCCGTTCCAGTTCGAAGATCTGCCGGCCGGTGAACGTGGTCCGGGCTTTCTTGCGCTTCCTGTCGCCGCCACCGTCCGAGGAGTGACCGCCGTCGCTTTCGGCTTGCTGGCCCGCCGGCGAACCCGATGAAGAGCTGACCAAAAGGCCCGGGGACGAGGACAGGGGAACGTCCTTCCTGGATTTCTTCCTCACCGGAGTCGTAGGCGGTAGATGAGCAGCTTGTTGATGACCATGGTTCAGAGTCGTCGTCGGGGGATGTGCTGCTGCCGCCGCCGCCGCCGAGATGTCTGCAACAAAAACAAAGCCCACCCACGGCATTAAAATCGCATCGAATACACCGGAATTGATAAATTGCCCTCCCGTCCGCACATTTTGTCAGAAAATCACAATATAATCTAATACAATATATCAGAAATAACTTCTCAAGTGATAAGGATATAATTAAAATAAAAATATTCATGTGATTATTATTTTATTTCCTGTCAAAATCGGATTTAAACATATTGTAGCAATTATTAAGATTGGATTTTTAAATTAAAAGTTTGCCATACAGCAATATATTGTTGTCGAAATAACGGCAATGTACAGTTTAAAAGTAGTTTTAGTAGGTCGGTAATTGTCACTCCTAATTGTTATTTCCTATTGGTAATTGTTATTTCCTTAACAATACAAAGTTAATAAAGTTAGGTACGCAAAAATAGTTTTCAAAACATTTAAATTGTTTTCAAATTGCTGAATTGAAATGATTCTAATGAATGGGTGACAAACATACTTATAGAGAAATATGTATGTGTTTAATACAAAAAATAAATATTTTTTAACTCAAACTGTGTAAACACATTTACAGTAAGTTAAGAGATTAATAAAAATAAAAACAATACCTTCTCAGGTACGCATCGAAGCTAAAATCCAAAATAACCCAGACTTTTTTTTTTAATGTTATTGCTGCATGTAAAACCAATCGTCATTGACTATATTATGTACACATATTTTGGCGGGTTTCTTCATAGTAATTAGTGGATGAAATTTGTTTTCTTTTTTATTACAAAGTTATGTAAATTATACAACCAATCAAAAATAAACTCAACCCAAAAAAACCGGCGGGTCAGACAAAACCTAACCTAATATAATCAATTTTTTTTTTGGATTTTTAATAATTAATGTACATCCAATTCACTGGGCTGGCTTTTTTTGTTTTCTAAACAAACACATTATTGTCAACTCTGATCCTACTACCAAGTTATACCAAACGTTATTGTGGTGGTCTGTTAACGATTGTTTTTTTGAACGTTTGTTTAAACATAATATACGTTTCGATTTTTCCGATTAGCAATAAGGATTTCTTTTTTATAAGAAGGTTTTTTTTATTATTATTATTCAATTTGCTCGATCAGCAGATCTTCTCCCCTACCTACCTACACATTCTTGCAGTGCGTGCGGTCGGCTCGTTAACGTTACACCGACGGGCAATGGGAAAAGCCATCGCCAAGATAACGAGATAAGTCAAACGCGCTTCAATCACATTAGCGCCGACACCAAGACGGTTAGGTTGTACACGGTACAGTGGTTAAATTATTATCAATTGGACAAGTTCAGAAGAGCAGCTGCAACAACACTCACTCATCGAAGTATCCCAAATCGATTTTCCGCTCTTGTCAGACACTCGGTCGGCCAAACCCCGTTCGTTTAGATATACCTATTCTTATTGTTATTGGTATTATATTTAACACAATATTCCGTTTGATACTGGCGATTGTTGTGGCACAACTTCATAGAAAGGAAAATAATTTTGCAAAAAATAGTGTCTACAATCCGAATTAGATTAAACGTTTGTCTCACGATCGCCGTTAAAGCCCCTTCTTTAAGCTACATGATTGTGATGATGATAATAATCCTAATTTATTTTGCCACTACAAGAGCTGTATGTTGGTTTAATAAGACTTTGTAACTGGACTATAAAATCTAACCAATATTTTATCATGTAGTTAGAAAATTTGAAAACATAATCGTTTATAATTACATTGTTTGTCAAATCAATGGCGTTATTTGGGATTCCAGTGAAAAACGTAGCGTTTCACAAACAAACATCGCCCATAAAATGTTTAATAATGTACTACAATTAACTTAAAAAGTCCAAATTCAAATTGCATTAAATAATTTAAAAATTGGTAATGTGGGGGTTCCTCTTCATGATAATCATGTATATATTTTATTGTAAATAGTTTTACAAAAATACTCATTGTAAAAATAAAATATTACAAATTGTATAATTCAATAAAAGTGTTTTAAACAAAAAACTGGAAATCGTGGTTTTGGAAGAGAAATTATTATTTATTTTCCAGACAAGATTATAAACTGTATTGCTTATATTTATCAAATTGATTGTAAACTTGATCCTTAAATTTATTTCAAATCGTAGACCAATTATTGGTGTACATTTATTTGTATTTTACAAAATACACTTTTATCGTTATTGCAAATATTTGTTTATTTTCGTTTTTCAAATTTGTTTTTGATTTGGACCAATTTCACCGAGCACGGTTTCCGTCCTTGGTATTCTTTGGAAATATCTTCGGACCAGTTACCGGTGAATCATCTCTCTTTAATACTGCATTCAACACACGATACTCTAACAACAGCTGTTGGTTTGACAAAGAAAATCCTAGAACGTACAAAAATAGTTACACGGGTGGATTTATTTTCTCAGTCAAACGTCGGACAAACAAATTAGAAAACAGTCAGCATCTTCGTCTTCGTCTTGGCCTTACTACACGAGGTCGGCCAAGAAAAAACGGACCGGATAATACTTTGTATTTTTAATTTTAATGTTTTCTGTTGATGATGAATTAGGTAAACACACAATCTTACACAGTCGCGTGGCTGCTCCTTAGCGATTATTAATAATGCGGTTACGGCACTGTCGCTAATCGGGTTTGCTAAACCAGAAGAGATGCGGACGCGTGGATTCCATTAAGAAAAAACCAATTCTAATGTATTATGAGATTAAGCGTGAAATCGTTTGTTGTCAGCATTCGGGACCGGCAACAAAGATTTGGCGGCCGGCCATCTTATATAACGTCTAACCGAGTACGACGATATTATTGTTATTATTTTGATATAATAATAATAATATTAACGTCGGAATAGTAAAAAAAATAAAATAACAGAAAACTAAAGAGCCAGCGAGAGATAATACACATAAGCCCATAACGAATCGTACATACTAAAAAAAAAAAAAAATACTTATTATGTAGTCGGTGTTTGTTACACACACACACACAAAGAAAATGTATACTTCGGTTTAGGACGATGTTATCGTATATAATGTTATAAATCACAATAGGAAGTATATAAAATGTACAAGATAATGGTATAGAAACGTTCAAAACTTCTGTGGGAATTGGGAAACCTATGAGTACTTTAATATACATGGTCAAATTATTGTAATATGCAGACCGAAATTTGAAAATTTACCGCCGACTGGTATATAATATAATTCCACTTGAATAATGTATTATTATAATTACTTTCTTTGAGCTTGAATCGTTTAATCACTTTTTTTTTTAAAAAAACTGCGTTCGAAGAAACGTTGTTAACATACAAATGATTATAGAATAGTACACATTGAGAGGAGTCACATTTAAGCCATTTCACTTTTGGCCATGATCATATTTTGATAATAGAACTGTTAAGAAATTTACCGTGCAGTTACCAAGCCTGCTCAACCGTTTGAGTGTCATTGTGGTATTACAATATGGAAATTACCTTTTCAATATTTTTCTGAGGTTGTTAATTGTGGCATCTTATTGAAACCACCATCAAAATAATTTAAATATGTCACAAAAAAAAACATTTTCAAATGTTTTCTTATTTCCATGTAATTAAAATATTAGTTTCAAAAACTAAGACCTATTTAAATTAAAAAAAACTCAATCATTTAATAGATAATTAGATTGTAAATTTCTTCATTAGGAAATTTATGTGTGTCGTTATTATGTAAGTTTATTTGTAGTGTGTTTACCTCTACTAAATAGAAAAAAAAAATTAAATGGGCGTTAAGAGTGAAATATAGTATATTTTACACGTGACCGAAAAATGATGATAATAATTTATATTGGTGCGGTTTTCTTGTATAAACTTGGCAACGGGCAATAATGCGTCGGTTCATAAGCAAGGGATTTAAAAAACAGCATATATATATTTTTTTTATTACCGCTAAGTATAAACGAGAGCATTTATAACGGTATTAACGTCACACGATTTCAACGTCCAAATCCCGTTTGCCAACCGAAATTATTGCTGAACATAATCGTGTATTCTTTAATCCAGGGATGTTAACATTGACATTTTTCAATATATTTAAAAATTGTACTTAACTTTATGTATTGTACAACTGATGTAATGACATTGTACCTTACAGGCCGTCGATTCGAAAAGTGTCGGATCGGATTAAATGGGATTCTTACGGTAAGAGCAACAAAAAACCGGTTAGGGCAAACAACAACAGCATTACTATATTATGAAGCGAGTCGAGGATTTTCATCTTTTCAGAGAACGCGGTCAATTAGTCTCGCAGATTATCCCCAAGAGACTGTTGGGGAACCATCTGATCGTCAGCACTCTCTCTCTCTCACACACACACACACACATTACAGGGTGATTCATCAACACCGAGCCAATTAACACACAACAACCGATACCTGGCATGTGTCGAAGCCAGCACACACCAACTGCAGTTTACTACAATCGTTATTACAGTAGTATATATATATATATGTATATTGTGTAACGTTTCTAAACGTTTTATACATACATATAAGTATAAATCCGCCAAGGCCTGATGGTCGTCAACTGAAATGTTGACGACCACCAGGCAGAAAATAAAATCACTTCCCTTGTCCGCGTGTCAACTGGTTTTTTGAAAAATAACCTAACCTTACCTAACGAAATTCTATTGTTCCGGAGTAAACTAGATAGGGGGAAGAGAAATCGCTATTGACATCAAATAGCCGGTATACCTACTACAACAGAATACTCGAAAGTACCGAGGGGGTAGGTATAATTGGCATCGGTTACACAGCTAGTGTATTGGCAAGACGATTTCGAAGAAGACTTAGAACAAGGCGAGATTAAATTAAGTGGAAAGGGGCAACAGGTGTGCCGTGTGATGTGCGACACTAGACGTTAGAAAGAGAAATTAACTGGAGTGAAACTAGCGCCCATATTATAACACTGATGTACGCGCATTGAGTATTAGCTAATGGTCGAGTGGATTTTGATTTGATTA